ATTCCAACCACTATGCGTCTCTGTGCTCCGTAGTCACAACTTTCAGCCAGAGAATGAAGACTAGTAATGAAACTCTCCACTGACTCCCCCGGTTTCTGGACTTTGGAATTAAATTTGTAACGCTCAAAAATTATATTTCTCTTTGGAACAAAGTGATTTTCAAAACACTGTAATGTCTCAGCATAACTCTTAGGTTTAACTGCAGCTTGCAATAAAATATCTTCAGATTCTTCTCCCATGATATACACCAAAAAATTTATTTTCTCCTCTTCCAGCTTATCATTCTGTCCCGATATGGACATATATCGCTCAAACCGCTTTCTCCATTGGGGCCAAGTATTAGGCATAGAAAATGTAAATTTTTCTGGTGGACTAACATGAGCTTGCATACCCATCGCCGGACTATGCGTTACCTTTACCGGATTAGGTGTTCCTTCCGGTCCAGTCTATGTAATTTCAAATTACCATTTATATCTTCTCTGCTATTTCTTCGTATTATTTTAACGAATATACGATCTTTTTACTGCTGCCTCCATGTTTTATCAGTAAAAGATCTTGTTAAGAGGAAAAGATGTATTTATTGACAACTCTCACAATTCGTCTTGTTATTCTATACACTTATTTTTTCCCCCCAGCCTGCTAACACAACAGCAAGTAGCTCAGAAGTAGGAGTTAGACTTTCACAAGCGTTGCTAGGTCTAATTTTTTTTTGGTCTACGATCATCATCACCAGGAGTACCTCTAGTAAGATCCAGAGGAGAAATGTCTGAAGAAGAGTCATCATTGTCTATATGCCTTTTTCCAGAAACATCTTGCGCATTCGCCTCAGCCTAAGGACTACGAGAAGTGGCCTGCGGTGCCGGGCAGTCGCTAGCGAAGTGTCCAGTCATTTTACATTTAAAACAAATGTCATCAAATGCCAAAAATATGCGATAGTTTGTATCGTCGTCTTCGTTGATTCACTATTAAAGTCTCTCCAATTGGTTACAATCGTCCGACTTGTCAAAAGGGAAAATATTAAAAGATGTCACCCCCTTCGGGAGTTACAGGAACCTTTAATTAATCCGTTTTGTTACGCGCCAAAACAGTTTGTGCTTGAATTGATATTAGCAAAATGTCCAAAAAATATTGCTCTGTGCCTGCTTGTGGAGTAATCAAGGATCCTAGAGACCACAAAATAATGCACAGATTCCCTTCAAACACTGTGAACAAAAGGTTGTGGTGCAAAAAGGTTTTTAATGCTACAAGTAGGTACCCAAACATGAATCTTTTACCTTAGGGAATGTATAGGCATTAAAACCATTTCATGATAATATTGCCAATAATTTATACTTTTGAGAGAAGTTGTTATTATTTAAATAAAAGACTTAAACCCGGCTCTGTTCCTACTTTGTTCCTCCATGGTTCCAAGTCACCGCTACCTGTTCCTACTTCTTCAAGCTACCCAGCAAGTAATAAACGTGATCCAGAATGCAGCTTCATAATTCCTGAGACACATTCCGATAACAATGTAAACACCTCAAAGAAAAATTTTCCTACTGCATATCCCTTTGAAGACGATCCACGCCCATGGCGTTGTGATTTTGGCACCGGTACCGACATTTTGCCTCTTTTTCTAGTAAAAACCGAAATACATGATGTCATTGTGTCAAAAAGTCAGACCATGACAGACATTTAGCTGACATTACAGATTCCTTTCCCTCCCGACGTATGCGCCCTCACATGTCACATTTAAGGGATTGGGGAGACTTTAATAGTGAATCAACGAAGACGACGGTTTGTATTTTCCGTCGTCTTCGTTGATTCACTATTAATAGTGAATCAACGAAGACGACGGTATTTTCATATTTCAAAACCATTGATTCTGGAAGATTTATTTTGTCATCTGGTTGAACATGAATTTGTCGTCGAAAACTCATGACGTGAGCATATTGATCGCTTTGGATGCCGGCTCTAAGAAAAGACATTGGAGATAACGTTGTAAAACCAAGAGCTTTAATCTTGTTAACGAAAACATCATGAGGGATCGAAGGACAAACGTTTGATAGAATAATTCGTCGCGAAGGAGTTAACAACCGACGGAGACTAACTTCTATACCATTAATGAGAATATTGGAAAACCTGTTCACTACATCATCTACCAGAGTTTTGGAACTAAGATAAATGCAGACCCGACCTTTTGAAATTCTAGAAGCAAATAGAACATTTTTTGGTGCAACAATATCACCTATTGTTGCTACATAGTCCATTAGGACAAGATCATCGACAGCGGTAAAAACTATCGCTTGATCCTGTTTTGGAAAATTAGGCGGCGAATCCGCCATCGTGTTAGATGGGTTTAAAATCCGAGGCGAAGCAGCTCAAAAACAATACAGATAAAGAATATTCGCATCGACAGCGCTATTGCGAAACTGAAAAACTCAAATATCACAGGAACCAGTAAACTAATTCCGGTAAAAATTTAGAAAACAGTGCACCGATATATATGCAACCCTTCGATATCGTTCAACAACAAAATATTTGGAATAATCTCACCGAATTGCAATTCAAATGCGGAGCAGCAATCACACAGTTCGCACTTGAGTACCCACCACTCAACTCCTAAATATATGGTACTAAAGAATAACTGTGAGAGTAGAAACAAAAACAACTTACAAATAGACAGACAAGAAGGAATAAAAGTAGAATTTGAAGAAGTAGAAATGTTTATGTACTTAGAGTTACTGATAATGACAAGAGAAAGTGTTAGGGTGCAGGTACGGGGTGTTGACCGGGGAATTTCAAGGGCAACCTTTGTGAATTTTTGTATTAGTCATTGGGGATTTGTTGTTGACCGAAAACTGTTGATGAATTTGAAAATGAATGTTATTGAAAGAAAGGTACAATTCAAATCGAATGTGCACCTACGATTACCTATATTTTATTTATTTTGCATATTTTATGTGTCGCATTTTTATGTGTTGTTCTGTTTATTTCGTATGTGTTTTTATTTATGTGTCTTTTGTTTGGGGATGTGTTGAAGGGAGGGGGTTTTGTTTGTTTAATTCGGTCAACAACGTAACTTTGCCCAGATCATTTTAATGCAGTCGTAACTTCGTTGTTTAATGTCAGATAAATATTTCATTAAAATCATTGCCAAAATGTGAATAATTTAATCTCTTTCAAAATTCTTGTTCTTTAAAGTTATTGATAAAAACATGAATAATCTCTCGCTTTATTTTCTTTATTGTATAAGATTGTTGATCACACGTGCATAATTTAATCTCATTTAAATTTCTTTGTTATTTAAAATAAGTGTTGATGGAGTGTGGCCAATTAAATTACGCTTATTGCTTGTCTGAAATCCAAATACTCATTTTGATAACGCTAGTTAACTCGGGGGTCGTGTGGCGTGGACGCGGTGGCGTCGGCGTCTCCGTGCGAGTGTCTGCGGGTCTTGCTAGACTTCCGGCCCTAGCGGACTCGGAGTTTTACCGAATTACCTTGTACGCGGGAAACAGGAAGGTCAACCTATGTCAGGTGGGTGCGTAAGACCACGCGCGTGAAGTGGTGAGGTAGGACTATGTGGACCTTCACGGGGTGTGGGGCCTTCGCCCTGTGCTCGCTGCGCGCCCCCATTTTGTTTGTAGAGGCCACACTACCGTAATATCTGGGACGTTGCCATCCATTTACTTTCTGAGAATTCCGCGACTTTTTATTTTGCTTTTTTTGTTGTACTTGTAAGGTTGCTAATATTTATTCTATGTTCTCAGGTTCGAGTGAAAATAAAGGTTTTTTTTTCTCTGAGGAATAAATTCTTTAAGCTCTTCTGGGGCCCTTGGCCAAGGTCTCTTGAGCTCTTATTGGATTTATTTTTCATAGTTTTTTTTTTCCAAATATAAGTTTTTTAAATCCGTCACTCTTCCCGCTCCGCAGTGCGCCAATTTGTATGAACGAACGCCTCCCGCCAGTTTTCAAAACACAATGTAGGGTCCCACTTTTGTAGACGATCACAGCCAAGGTCAAATTTTAAACTTTAGCGGGCTTTTTCAAATTTTGTTCAATGCCAAATAAAAGGCGGGAGGTTTGGGTTATTACAATAATTAAATTTCTAGACAGCCAGACAAATTTTAGATGGCATTTTGTCATATAGACAATATTCTTAAAATACCTATACCTCTAAACTGTCACAATAACCAGTTCAGTAGTTTTGGAGATTATAGCCAATTGTAATTATAATAATATCCAAGATAGTGGTGAAAGTGTATTTTGTGTTGCGTTTCAGATTTATTCAGGCTCTTTATTACTCGTGGACCAGCCTGTATTGGGTTTTCCTTGGAATTAATCAAAACAAATAGTAAAAATTTTTAACAGAAATTTGGGATTGCATTTTCAGTTTGTTCTCCCTTACTATCATGTAAATAAAATACATTTTCTCAGATTTCGCGTATTTATTCCGTTGTTCTGAATCATATAGCAACACTTACAAAAACAGACTTTTCTAGAAACGTCCTCAATGATCTTATGCTAAATTTGGCTTTTTTCTCTTTGAATTGGTAGAACTGGTTTTATTTCCAGAGCCATATTGTCTCCACACCGGTATTTTAAATAAAAGTCTGTTTAAATTGGTTTAGAAACAAAGAACTATTGTTACCAAAACAAACGCCTTCAAAGTTTTTTTTTCTCATTAAAATGTTGCAGTTGACATACTACGAATACGTCGACAGCGACATGGAAACGGGTGACACATTTTTTCATGTACTGGGGGTCCTGAAACTCGAGAATTGGGAAAACATGAAAGTAGCCATCGTCGTTAGTTATGGTGCAGATGCAGGATGAAAGATAAATATAAATACGTGAGATTAGCATAACATTTACACCAACATGATGAAATCTTGTGAAATACATACATATTTAAGTCACAAATGTATTGTTGCTTGCTCACTTATGCTTTAATTTATCTCTATACTTCTGCGTTGGTAGCTTATTTGTTGGCATTCCCTGATGAGTAATTTCCCCAGATTTGACGTAAAAACAAACGTCATCTGTCATTTGTTTCGTATGTCAACGTGAAAAAGAACACGTAAACACGTCGATTAGCGTCAATTCTATAGTGAAAGCAGAACAAAACAACCACCGCGCATATTTATTTAAATGTAAATCAACGGGTAAATTGTACTCCACCAACTTTAGTGCCAAAAGTAGAAAAAGTGAAACATAACCTCAAACTGGAATCGTTTAAAATGAGAAGGGCCCATGCTGGTAATTTTTACGAACCCGTACCCCAAACTTCAAACGAAATCGAAGATGAAAATGACCACTTGACCAATGAATTGAGAGATAAAATAGGAGTGTTAAAGTCATTGTCGATTGATATAGGAAATGAGGTCAGGTACCAAGATAAGTTGTTGCAAGATGTGGACGACGATATGGACAGGACTAGAGGGTTTCTGGGGAATACGATGAATAGAGTGTTAAGGTTATCAAAGGGGTCACATAATTATTACATTTTTTATTTGTTCTTGTTTTCATTGTTTGTATTTTTTCTGCTTTACATTGTTTTGAAATTTAGGTAACTGAACTGAGTTTGACTTATTGAATGTTTTGTATATACTGCTTTAAGATGTAATTGGTAAGGTGATGATATTTAATAATAAAATCCATAATTATTTAAATTTGTTTTATTTTAAATTAACAATAGTACAAGTTTGAACACAAAACATCACGATCATTTCGCTCAAATTCCTAAACATATCCCATAATTTGTAAAAATCATAACATCAGAAACATTCATATACCCAATGGTCCCGCTTTGGGAATTACAAAGAGCAACAGTAACAACTCTATTTTTACAATAGCGTCATGTTTAACATGAATGAATTTCTGAAATTCATTAAAGAAAGCTATTGCATATAAATGTTTACTCTACACAAATTCTGGAATGTCTAGAAATTACTCACTCATTCGCACAACCACCTCAATAATAAAAAAAAAACAAGATAATCACAGAATAAAACGAAACAAAATGAAACGAAAACACTTTCATAACTCTTGAGGAATATGAAAATATTCATCCAATTTTATCCTACAATTTTGTACAAGAATACTGTTATAAATTAAAAATTAACAAATACTAACCGCACTATTTACACCATCCAGAAATCTAAATTAATCTCAAAACTGACGTTTGAAATTTTATTGTTAAATAGAGCATTTCGATACATGGCAGCTTCAACCTTCAGCTAAAATCTGCGATAATAAACGCTTTAAACTGTCTAATCCCGTTAAAAAACCGCCATCGGGCCCCTGATGGATCACCCCGCTGGAGCTTTCCTCGCTCCTCGTAATAAAAGAAGTGTGGGCGAAATCTATCATACGAACGTCAACGTTGGCTGGGGCCCCAGACCTCGACTTCCCTCTGCTGCACCCTTGTTCCTTCACTCTCAACCTCTTCGTCAAATTTTTATGAGAAACTGTGGGCGTCAATTCCTCGTCCTCTTCGTCCTCTAACTCCAGCTGCCCGAACTGTAAGCTACTCTTATGCGGAAGACACGACTCAAAGTCCGAAGTGTCTTCGTTGGAGCTAATTCCGTTTAGATGCGAGTATTCGTCGCTGCTGCTGTTCGAGTACATCATCCAGCTGTCGATGGGAAGAGGGCTGGTTGTGGTAATGGTAGGAATGGAAGGAGGGGAGTCCATGAACACCGTTTCTTCGGATATTGGGTAAAAGCTGCCGTATTTGGCACCACGCGCGGCGGCTTCGCCAAAACCCCGATGGTGGGAATCCTGCGAGACTTCGTCTTGACTTAAATTGAAGTCAGTTGACGAGTTACTGGTGTCTGCGTCGTAGCAGCAGGGAACTTCGCGGCTGCTCTCGGACGACTCCCTAGTGCAGTCACTGAACACGGGCTCGAAGCACGGTTCGGGCTTCAGAATCGGGAGGCCGCCGTTGCCCTCGTATACTATTAATAACGAACTGGAACAAAATACATCGTGTTAGAAATATAGCAGAAGTTGCATAAAACGTTACTTTATTACAGGTAGATTACCTAATGTTTATTATTTTAGATTCTTAATTTAAAACTTTTTAATTCTACACTGATCGGCAAAAAAAAAACATTCACTATTGAGTATTGACACATGATAAACAAATTAGCAAAAAAAAAAAGAAAACAAATAAACGCAGAATTAAATTTAATTTAACAAAAATAACAGAGACAGACCAAGTATTTACGATATTTTCTTAAAAAAAAAGGCTGTTGTTGCAAACAGTGTTTTTGATCATTTGATTATAAGTTTGGCAATTAATAAACGTTTCCACGCGAAAACAATTCCATTAACTCTTACAGACGTATCTCAAATTGTCGCTCTGTTTCTGTTATTTTGTTAAATTAAATTTAATTCTCCGTTTATTTGTCTTCTTTTTTTTTTTTGCTAATTTATACATCATGTGTCAATAGTGAATGCTTTTTTAATAAAATAACGATCACTAGTTAAATTAATAATTTTTAAAGTTCGGTTTTGCGAAATTTTTCAGGGTGGCCGGTTTTATTTGCCGGTCAGTGTAGTTAAGTAAATTAAAAAAAAAAAATGCATCAAAAATATATGTTTTTTAGAATAGACGAATTAATGAACTTAGTTTTCTCAAAATCATTTATATTTGTGCGTATTTACTTCATTTGAAATGCCACAATTAAGAGCTCAAATCCCTCATCCCTAAAAGTTTAACTTTTTCTTACAGTCTTATATTGTAAGTAGAGTCCCGAATTTATGAGATTGGCATATTGATGACTGTTCATACTGCAACTAAATGCTTTCGGATCTAGGCGAATTAGGTAAATATGAATTGTTGACGCATATTAAATTTTGCATATTTTGCATGCATCAAGATTTTTCACACATTTTCGTATCTTTTGCATATTTTCACATATTTTGACACTTTTTAGATTTTCAAAGCATAATGCGAACTTTTTATTGGAAGTGTCAGCGTTTTTAACTTCTAAAGGTCAAAATCTACAAGACAATGTTTTTGGTTAAATTTCGAAAATTGTTAAAAACAATCGAAAATTTCAAAATGGTGTGTATCGAAAAATTGAGTTTTTGAAAAAGTTGCTTAAAAAATCCCAAACAATTCTGAGATATATATTTTGTTATGTCAGTTGGAAAAATGTAGCGTGTTTATGATACTGGAACGAGATTTTAGAAATATCCAGTTTGAAATTTAATTTTTTTTAATATGTAATCCTAAAAGTTGCCACATTTCAATTGGTGATTCTGGAAAAATGGTGGAAGTTACATTTGCCAAAATCGATCTTATTTTAGCAGGTATTAACCCTGTCCACACACCTTCTATTTTGTTAGAGGGATCATATTTGCCAAAATGAGACTAAATCTGCAGCTACTAAGTTTAATTTTTTCCTACAGACTTCTATCTTAGCAGATACTAGCCCCGCCCACCGGCGTTGTTCTCATTCTAACGATTTTATTTCTGTTGAATATAATATAATTCCAAACAAGCATTAAAAAAGTAACAAGGTTATATTTTGTTATCAAAGGTAGCTAAAATACATAATGGAGATTCTAGTAGTGAGGTTACCATAGAACCAAATTTAATTAGCGCTCTTAAGTACATCAGTGGATGTAGAGAGGAGTTTCTCTACCTATAAACAAATTTTGTCTGATAGGCGACGTAAGTTTTTAATTGAAAACATTGAAAAACATATAGTAGCAAGTTATAACGTTTATGCAGACATTTAAGTGTTTTTTGATGTATCATTCTACTCGTTTTTTACAAATATTTGTTATTTAGTTGTGTTGTTTTTTGTAAAAAAAAGTTTTTAAAATACGGCACAATGTTGTTTTAAATTAAACCTATTAGACTTATGAATACACTACCAATTTATTGTATACTCAATAAAAAAGTACAAAATGTGTGCATATTTTGGCCAAATTTCGTGCATAAAATTCCGGACTCTAATTATAAGTAAGCAATAGCATTCACCATTCACCTCCTCTTCATTCCAGTGACTACTCTTAAATTGTCCAGTCATTTACCAAAATCAGTTTTATCTTAACAAATACTAGCCCCGCCCACCCACCCTCTCTTTTTTTTGGAGTATATGTACTTTGCTACAGTCGATCTTATCTTAGTAAGTACTATCCCCACCCACCCGCGCTGTTCACATTTTAACAATTTTATTTCTGTTCAGTATGAGAACCACTTTTCATTCTGGCCAGATAAAAAGAATTCCTGAAAAAAAGGCGGGGTGGGTGGGCGGGATTTAATTATACTTTCTTTTGTAGACTGGGAATGGGGACTAATAGAACGTAGGCTATTAAAACAAAGGAAAAAAAAACGCTAGTCGTATTTTTTTTTGTTATACTATTTACTGTAAGCTTTATCTTTCATTTCTGAAGAAAAATGAGAAAACGGGTGGGTGGGCGGGGCTAACTTTAACTTTTTCTTACAGTCTTTCATAAGCAAGCAACAGTTCCGCCTATCCACCTCCTCTTCATTCTAGTGATTACCCTTAAATTAGCAGGTCATTTACCAAAATCAGTCTTATCTTAACAACTATTAGCCCCGCCCACCCGCCCTCTATTTTCTTCGAGTGTATGTGATTTGCCACAGTCAATGTTATCTTAGCAAGTACTAGCCCCGCCCACCCGCGCTGTTCTCATTCTAACAATTTTATTTCTATTCGGTATGAAATCCACTTTACTTTCTGGCTATATAAAATGAATTGCTGAAATGAAGGCGGGGTTAATTATATGTCCTTTTGTAGAGTGGGAATGGGAACTAGTAGAACGTAGGCTATTAAAAAAAAAGCGCTAATCGTATTTTTTTTTTGTTATACTATTTGCTTCAAGATTTATTTTTTATTTCAGAAGAAAGATAAATAAGGAAACGGGTGGGTGGGTGGGGCTAAGTTTATTTTTTTCTTACAGAGTCTTTTATAAACAAGCAATAGTTCCCTCCATCCACCCCCTCTTCACTCCAGCGATTACTGTTAAATTGTCCAGTGATTTACCAAAATCAGTATTATCTTAACAAATACTAGCCCCGCCCACCCGCCCTCTTTTTTTTAGAGTGTATGTGATTCGCCACAGTCAATCTTATCTTACCAAGTACCAGCCCCGCCCATTCGCGCTGTTATCATTTTAACAATTTTATTTCTGTTTAGTATGAATTCCATCTTTCATTCTGGTTAGATAAAATGATTTATTGAAATGAAAGCGGGAAGGGTGGGCGGAGTTTAATTATATGTTCTTTTATAGAGTGGGAATAAGGACCAACAGAACGTTGGCTATTAAAAAAAAAAAAGCGCTAATCGTAATGTTTTTTGTCCTTTTTGCTATAAGATTAATTTTTTATCATCCGAAAAAAAAAAGAGAAAACGAGTGGGTGGGTGGGGCTAAATGTAACTTTTTGTGCCAGAATCTTTCATAAGCAATCAATACTTCCGCCCAGCCACCCCTTCTTCATTCCAGTGATTACTCTTAAATTGTTCAGTGATTTACCAAAATCACTCTTATCTTAACAAATACTAGTCCCGCCCACCCGCCCTCTCTTTTTTTACAGTATATGTAATTTGCCACCGTCAATCTTATCTTAGCAAGTAATAGCTCCGCCCACCCGCGCTATTCTCACTGTAACAATTTTATCTCTGTTCAGTATGAGATCCACTTTTCATTTTGGCTAGATAAAATGAATCGCTGAAATGAAGGCGGGGTTTAATTATATATTCTTTTGTAGAATGTTTGTTATACTGTTTGATATAAGATTTATTTTTTATTTGAGAAGAAAAAAAAAAAAGGAGAAAACGAGTGGGTGGGTGGGGTTAAATTTAACTTTTCCTTACAGGGTATTTCATAAGCAAGTAAAAGTTCCGCTTATCCACACTCTCTTCATTCTCGTGATTACTCTGAAATAGTCCAGTCATTTATCAAAATCAGTCTTATCTTAACAAATACTAGCCCCACCCACCCACCCTGTCTTTTTTTAGAGTGTATGTGATTTGCCAGAGTCAATTTTATCTTAGCAAGTACTAGCCCCACCCACCCGCCCTGTTCTCATTCTAACAATTTTTTTTCTGTTTAGTATGAAATCCATCTTTCATTCTGGTTAGATAAAATGATTTATTGAAATGAAAGCGGAATGGGTGGGCGGGGTTTAATTATATGTTCTTTTATAGAGTGGGAATGAGGACCAACAGAACGTAGGCTATTAAAAACAGAAAAAAAAGCGCTAATCGTAATTTTTTTTGTTATCCTTTTTGCTATAAAATTAATTTTTTATCACCAGAAAAAAAATGAGAAAACGGGTGGGTGGGTGGGGCTAAATGTAACTTTTTCTTACAGAATCTTTCATAAGCAATCAATACTTCCGCCCATCCACCCCTTCTTCATTCCAGTGATTACTCCTAAATTATTCAGTGATTTACCAAAATCTCTCTTATCTTAACAAATACTAGCCCCGCCCACCCGCCCTCTCCTTTTTAGAGTGTACGTAATTTGCCACAGTCAATCTTATCTTAGCAAGTACTAGCCCCGCCCAACCGCGCTGTTCTCATTCTAACAATTTTATTTCTGTTCAGTATGAGATCCACTTTACATTCTGGCTATATAAAATGAATTACTGAAATGAAGGCAGGGTGGGTGGGCGGGGTTAATTATATGTTCCTTTGTAGAGTGGAAATGGGAACTAATAGAACGTAGGCTGTTAAAAAAAAAGCGCTAACCGTTTTTTTTTTTTTTTTGTTATACTATTTGCTATAAGATTTATTATTCACTTCAGAAAAAATATATAAAATGGGTGGGTGGGTGGAGCTAAGTTTAACTTTTTCTTACAGAGTACTTCATAAGCAAGCAATAAAGATCGTTTCCAAAGATCGAATGTTCATTTGTTGTTTGTGACTCTATATTCATTGATATTTTTACTCTACTTATGATTCTATACTTATATCTGTATTATATATATTATATCATATGTATGCACTTAAGTTGTGTAATTTTATATTTTAATTGAAATTAAATATTTACAATTTTTGTAGCATGTGCTTTAGTTTATTTTTTTACCATTGCTAAATCTGAAAAACCTTTCGCTAGTGTGAAATTTGCTTACACGTATGGAAAGTTTGACCCTGACCAGCATGCACTAGCCATAAATCGTGTCAGTTACACATTTCCGTTTCACCGTAACGAAAGCATTGTCAAAAATAAATTTTTTGACGTAGACAAAACGAATAAACAGAGTATATTTTTCTGAATACAACCCTGACATTTACGTAAATTTCAAAGCTGCACGAATCGTCTATAACAAATTGAAGAGGATATTTACCAGGTAGGTTGTTCGAGCATTGTTTACCTTCATAAAACTATTATTTGTTTTTAAAAACCGAAGAAACACAAAATATAGTGTTTTTATGACTTTTATAGAATTTGAGGACAGGATGGTATTAAGTGCGAATTGTAACAGATGAGAAAAAAATTGAAAGCAACCAGCTTAGTTATAACAAGTAAAATTTCGCTTGACTGCTAAATTATTCGAATCGGTACATTTAGAAACAATGTAACAATGTCAAAGAATTACATGAAATTTGTTTCTTTGTTTCATAATTTTCATTGTATATTCATGTTTCTTAACTACAAAGTCAAACTAATTGTTACATTAGATAATAATAAATACAACCTGATTCAATTTTGATGTTATATGTATATGTATTCTGAAAATTTATATCTCAATCGTATTAAATAAGAGACAAAACACATGCAAACGAGACTCATCAAATTTGTGAAATGTATAACAAGCGACTACTTATTTCATTAAAATATTATCACCTATTCCTATTGACTTTGATTTACTAAAGCTGCATGTCTGCTCCAAAAACAGATTTGTAAACAAATTTATCATACTTTTCTGCTATGCATTTCATATACAGGATGATTATAGAAAAACGTACCTATATTAAGTTGACTTTGACATTTTGTGAATTTTGCCATCTCGTTATGATGCCTGTCACAAATGTCACGTCATAACCTAACTTTCGTAAGTATGACAATGCGTTTGTAGCAAAATGGAGGCCACTTTGAACATGTAGAAAAGCTTCACCGAATACCAAAGCATGTGATATCCAGAGAATATTTTTACTCACGTTATTTTTAGACTGTAATAAATTGTTTGCTGAAATAAGGAAGCGGTAAATTCTTATTAAAAATACAATGACAGGCTTTCTAAAATCAAAACGATATACAGTCTTTTATAATCACCCTATATATTAACAATTTATTAAAAATAAATTAGGTAATTATAACAATAATAACTTAATAAATAAAAGTCACAACTTCCTATCCATTGTTTGGAAATACCATGGTATATAAATTTATTTATACGATAATACAGTGTAATTAATAATGGAATTATTCGCCTAGAACGAAAATTTGTAAAACAATGCAAAACTTAAAGTGATACAATGGTTTTCTTAATTGTATTTCTTACGCGTTGTTTGATTCAATTTCACCAACTTTCAAGCCGGAACGTATACATCGTTATTGCAAAATTTTAAGCACTGTCAATTATTATTTCCTTCATAAAGTGGCATTTAAACAAAACTAAGAATTCAAATGTCTTATTTTTAAGATATTAAGATGTAAGTAATCTCGAAATAATGAATAAAATAATCATAATTGATCACACAAGTACAATCGTTGGTATACACAATGACTACGTCTTTCTGCATTTGTTCTGAACTACATTCACAACTTTAATTTAAATTTGGTTTGGCCTAAATATCTGTGTACACATAACAGTACGACCAACGTAGTAGTTTTAGTAGTAGCACATGTGTCCGTAATTAAAAGCATAAGTTACCGTATGAACAAAAATCTGCTATTTATGGACGTTATTTAAAATAACTTCAATAAAATATGATGCATCTAAAAAGTAAGATTTTAAAAAATGAAATAATTTCTCGCAGATTATTAAAATTTTAGAGATCATAAAATATCATCTGCAACGAAAGGTTTATTTTACGCTTTTTAAAAATATGCCAACAACGTCATCATAATAGTATCTCATTTAACCGAATTACTTTTTGCGTCATAGAATATGCTTAATGATAAATATGTTTTTTATCGGATATGAAATCTAAAAATTCCTCAGAATTTTTAAAATGTAATACAAAAATAAAAATCACGATAATACGATTCTCAGGTTTCTTACTTACCACGAGTAAAATCTATAACAACTCTGCTTCTCGATCACCCGCCTCAGCTGCTCCAACTTTGAGATCACTTGCTGTATCACCGATACTCTAAGTCCAAAACCATTATCGAAAAACGTACAAAGAGCGTTCTTAAAACCTTCTTCGTTTAACTCGCGCCCCCAGTACTTGTCCTTTTTAAAATAAATCTCCGACTCTGCTTGGTACACTTGCATACCACACAGTCTCACACCTAACGTAGCCGAAGTGCTGGCTGCGCACTTCGCCATCTGTTTGGAACGTTTTTCTGCCGAAGCGTCGTCGCCGTGCTGACGAGTACCCATCTTCAAGTCCAAGATGCAGGGATGGGTGTAATGAGATGTGATGTTTTCTAACATTAGGAAATATTGCTTGTTTGTATTGTCTGATTGCGAAATGCTTTTCAGGACGTCTTTTGGATTCCCGGTGTGATGCACCCTCATCCTGGAAGTGAATAAACATGTAAGAATTTTTGTCATGCGTGACTTGAGTTTTGGGGAATTTGTGCATGTTTGCGAACATTCCCCGTGATGAAATATCAACACCTGTTCGGAACGGTAACTATATTTAAAAAAGGAAAGAAAAATTATCATACTTGAAATAAATGGCAGGCAAGTCGTCTCCGGGATTTTTTTAGCAAGGGAAATGAGCTGGATTCTGAATTCATTAAATTTAAAAAAGCACGCCAAAAAGTGAGTTTTGAAATTTCTTCTTTTTTGTCAGGTGGCTTTTATCAAGGACAATTCTCTAATTTTTGTCTTTACATAAAACAGATAATACAAGCAATTTATCTCACATTCAGTGAGAGTACAACAAAGCTTCAATTTTTTGTGACTATTCGTTTGTTATAAGCATAATAGATACATAATGATAACAAAATTTGAAAAAAATGTCAGATAATAATGTTGACAAATTTTCAACAAGCTGCATCATTCTACGGAGATATATCAAGCGTCAACGTCAGACATATAAATCAAGTCAAAGCGATACAGCGGAACCAAATTTTTATTTATACATTTTATTATTAGTGTATGGAATTTATATATCTTCAGAGCTTTTTTAATGGTATCATTCTGTGATTATTTTGGGAATCGAGGCAATTCTTTTTTGATTTTACGATGTTATAATTTTTTCAACACATTGTAAAACGTTAAAATTGTCAGATATGCCACACAACAAATTATACGTGAGACACGAAGCAGCAGCACAGTGTTACCATAGTCCAAAAAGTAACTTTAAACTAAATTAAATAAATTGTAGCATAAAGTTCTATTTTCGCACTGTTGCTTTCCACTTTTTTTTTTAACATTTTATTATGCTTACATGTTTGGTTCATAAAAAAGTACTCGTACGTAATATAATTTACAATTAATTTTTCTTTTATTTTCTGTTTATGGATTGCCATCACTAAGAAAAAAAAAAAACATTAGAGTATTATTATACTACTAGAAGACCATATTGAATCATCACAAACGTTTAGCCTTTGATTATTATTATTATTTGCTGAAATGACTAAATGACTAAAATTTAATCTTGAAAAAAAGCGAAAAAATACAGTTGAAATAAAAAGAGGATCGTTTTACTGATTTGTTTTTATAATTAAAAACAGAATCTCTGAGAGAAAAAAAACTGACAGCCTCAACTTTTAAAAGAACTTGTTTGATCTACAGACCAGAGCGTACTCAGGCCAATATCGACTCTAAGCGATTTATATATAAGCCGACTTTCGTTGGCCATCTGGTCGTACTTTACAATGAATAAGTGCACAAAGTTCTTGAACATCGTAACGATTTAAAACATAATGTTCCCGGGTGACAAAATTTACATTTCAAATTGTATTATCAGATGGTAAAAATGACGTATTCTCCAAATTTTACAATAGTAGATGTAATTTATATTTTATATCCTCCATTTATGGTTTACGAATCCGTGTTGAGTTTTTACCTTAGACGTCAAGATTTTTGGAAAAAAATCAACAACATTTTCCAATTACGATTTCTCAATTTTTGTCCTCTTCAATTTTACGATTTTTAAATATTTCGATTTTTGTTCAAATTTTGACGTTTCTAATTTTTCAGTTTTCCGATTTCTGAACTAATCTTTTTATATTATTTTTCCATTTCTCGACTTCTCAAAGTTTAGATTTATCAGTTCTTCAATTCTTCGACGTTTCGATGTTTCAACTTCGCTTTTTTAGTTTTTCGATGTCTCGAAATTTTTAATTTCTCAATTTTTTGGATATTTATTTCAGTTTTGGGATTTTTCAATATTTCGATACTCCGGTTTTTGGACTCCTGGATTTTTTTCTTTTTGGATTTCCCATTTTTTGTTAAACTTTAGATTTTTCAATTTTTCCACTGTTTTATACTTTGATTTTTCAAATTTTCAACTTTTCGATGTTTTAATTTTTCAATTTTTAAAATTTTAGGTTTTTCGATTTCTCGAGTTTCAGTTCTTCTATGATTCAATTTTTCAATTTCCCTAATTTTTAAATTTTCGATTTTTCCAATTTTTCTTTTCTTAAAATTTTTCGATTTTTCAATTTTTTTATTTCCCGATTTATTGAATGTTTCGATATTTTGATTGTTGATTTCTCGATCCTCTGATATTTCGATTTCTAGATGTCTCAGTTTTTGAATTTTTCGATTTTTCAATTTATCGATATTTCGATTTTTTACTTTTGGGCTTTTCAATTTTTCGATTTTCCAGTTTTTCGATGTTTTGATTTTTCAGTTATCCGATTTTTCAATTTTTTAAATTCCCGAGTGTCGATTTCTCGATTTTTATGCAAATTTTATACTTTCGAATTTATTTTTTTGATTTTTTGATGTTTGGATTTCTCGATTTTTCAATTTTGCGATATTTAAATTGTTCAATGTTTTAAATTTTAGATTCTTCGATTTCTCGATTTTTTGATTTTTCAGTTCTTCAGTATTTCTATCTCTCAATTTTTAAAATTGGGACGTTGCTAAAATTTCAGTTTTCCGATTTCTCAATTATTAGCTATTTTTGATTTTCCCATTTCCCGACTTCTCGAAGTTTCGATTTTTCAGCTATTCAATTCTTCGACATTGTTCTTTTGGTTTTTCAATTTCTCAATTTTTTTATATTTCGATTTCTAAATTTTTCAAATTTTCGATATTTTAATTTTTCGATTTTTCAATTTTTTGTGGTCTCAATTTATCGAGATTCGGATGTTTCGATGTTTTGATTGTTCAATCTCTCCATTTATCAATTTTTTTCATTTTTAACTTTTCGATTTTTCAACTTTTTCGGGTTTCATAATTTTCTTTTTTCAAAGTGATATTTTTCAATTTTTAGTTTTGTAATTTTTCGGTTTTCAATTTTTCGATTTTTTAATTTTTAGATTTTTAGTTTTTCGTTTTTTCAATTTTTGATTTGCCATTTTTTAGTTTCCATTTAACTATGTAATTTTCATTATAATTTTCACAATTTTTGAGTTTTCCAGTTTTTCGATTCGTTCCGTTTTTTCTTAACAATTTTTCAATTTTTTTCCGATATTTAAGATTCTCGATTTTTAGTTTTTCATTGCTCCAATATTTCATTTTTGCAGTGCTTCGATTTGCAATTTTTCGATTTTCCAATGTCTCAATTTCTAATTTTTCAATTTTTCAACTTTGAATAAAAAAAATTGAAAAATGGCAAAATTGTAAAATTGAAAAATAAAAAATTAAACCAGCTTTTCACTTTACGGAGATTTGGATGTTTCGACATTTCGATTGTTCAATTTTCCATTTTTCAGTTCTTCAAATTTTCAATTATTCGATGTCTCGATTTCTAGGTTTTTCAATTTTTCAAGTTTTAGATTTTTTGATTTTCCATTTTTTCGATGGCCCGATTTTTCAATTTTTCAACAATTCATAGGGAGCTTTCAATTTTTTAAATTTTTTGATTTCTGGATTTTTCAATTTTTTGATTTCGAAATTTAGAATTTTCTTCGGGTTTTCGCTGATTTAATTTTTCGGTATTTGGAACTTTCGATTTTACGGCTTTTTAGCTCCCCGATTTTTTATTTTACAGTTTAGGGATTTTTCAGTTTATCTGTTTAAAATGAGATCTTGTAAAATCTAAAAATTGGAAATCAAGAACATGAAAAATGAAAAATTTCAAAATGTAAAAATTGGAAAATCCAGGAACCAGATTGAAAATTTAAAAATTGAATAAACAACAACTTATAAAATCGAAAGAAAGATTGAACAAATAAAGGATATGAAAAAACCAAAGATTGTGAATATAAAATGGAGAAAATGAAAATTAAAAAATTGGAAAAATGAAAAATAAAAACCAAGAACTTGAAAAATTAAGAAAGCAATAAATTGAAAATTGCAACAATTAAAAATTGAGAAACTGAAAATCGAAAAATGAAAAATAATAAATCACAATATTGAAATGTTGAATAATTCAAAAAATAAACGATTATTTCACTTTTATAATTTCTATTTGTTCAAATTTTCAATTTGTAATTTTTCGATTTTTTCGACTCCTCGATTTCTCGATCTTTTGATTTTTCGATTTTTTACTTTTCGGCCTTTCGAATCTTTATTTTTTTAATTTTTCAATGTTTTAAATTCTAGATTTGTGGATTTTTCAGTTTTTCAATATATATTTTAAAATTTTTCAAAGTTTCGATTTTTCAGGTTTTTGATTTTTCAAATTTTCGGTTTTTTAAATTTGCGATTTTTCGATTTTTCTTTATTGACTTTTGGATTTCCCAATTTTTCAAGTTTTTAGTTTCCCAATTTATGGAAATTTCGATCAATTTTGTGATTTTTCATTTTTTAGAATCCTTAATTTTTCTTCTATTTTTTAATTGTGTTCGATATTTCAGTTTTGGTATTTTTTCGTATTTCGACTTTTCAATTTTCCCACATTTCATAGGGAGCTTTCAATTTATCTGTTTTTCAATTATCCTATTCTTCAATTTTTCGAGTTTTGAACTTCAATTTTAATTTTTTTTTTAGATTTTTCGACTTCTCAATATATCAGTACTCCGACTTTTCTGTTTAAATTTTTAACTTCCGATTTTTTGATTTCGAAATTTTGAATTTTCGTCAGGTTTTCGCTTTTCCGACTTCTTAGCTCCTAGATTTTTTATTTTACAGTTTAGGGATTTTTAGTTTATCTGTTCAAAATGAGATCTTGTAAAATCTAAAAATTGGAAAGCAAGAACATGAAAATGAAAATTTAAAAAATTGAATAAACAACAAATTATAAAATCCACAGAAAGATTGAACAAATAAAGGGTATGAAAAAACGAAAGATTGTGAATATAAAATGGAGAAAATGAAAATTAAAAAATTGGAAAAATGAAAAATAAAAATTAAGGAAGCAATAAATTGAAAATTCCAACAATTAAAAATAGAGAAACTGAAAACCGAAAAATGAAAAATAATAAATCACAACATTGAAATATTGAATAATTCAAAAAATAAACAATTATTTCGCTTTTATATTTTCTATTTGTTCAAAATTTCAATTTGTAATTTTTCGACTTTTTCGACTCCTCGATTTGTCGATCTTTTGATTTTTCGATTTGTCAGTTTTTCGATTTTTCAATGTTTCTATTTTTGAATTATCCGATTTTTTAATTTTCCAATTTTTTAAATTTTCGAGTTTTGATTTCTGTTTGTTAATTTTTCTATTTTTCCATTTTTAAATTTTAAATTTTCGAATTTCTGTTTTTTTTGATGTTTCGATTTCTCCACTTATCAATTTTGCGATATTCTAACTTTTCAATGTTTTTTAATTTTTCAAATGTTGACGTTTCTGAATGAATCAATTTTTTGATTTTTTCATTTCTCGACTTTCCAAAGCTTCGACTTTTCAGTTTTTCAATTTTTCAAGTTTTTAATTTCCCAATTTTTGGATGTCTCGAATCTTTAATTTTCTTCTATTTTTCAATTTTTCGATATTTAAACTTTCAATTTTAAAAATTTTAGGTTTTTCGATTTTGTAATTTTCCGATCTTTCGATTTTTCAATTATAGAATTAATTCATAGTTAAAAATGGTTGCATGTCAAAATCGAGTGACACATGTGAGATGTGATATTATGTTTGTAAATAAAAGCATCCATTTCCTGCAGAAATTCTAAACACTTAGAGTCGACATTGGCCTGATTGCGGTCCGGTCTGTGGATCAAACAAGTTCGCAGACGACGATGTGTGTATATTCAATTTGTCAATAAACGTAGTTTTTACAGGATATTACGAAATTATCCACTAAGAAATGTATTGTTTACAAAATAAAATTACACATAATGATATTCGTTTAAATTGGCATTAAAGATAAATCAGTGGAATTTTTAATAAATTGACTATTAGTTTGTTGAAGTGAGTTAAAAAAATTCTGTACAATAAAAAAATCACAAAATACATGGAAGGATTTGTTTGCAATAAAAATAAAATTATAGCTGCAGCTGGATTGAATAAACTACTCCATGTGTGCGAAGTACAACCATTTTGCTTTGTTATGGTATGTATACAGCATATACTACGTAATGTTTATTATCAATCATGTATCATTTAAAGAACGCCACATGACTTGGATTTAATGTAATTAACCTCACATGATGCAATCGCTAACAATTAAGGTGATAATGATCATAATTTAACCAATACAAATCCTATACAACGGGAAGTGATTTTTATTTGATAACAGAGTCAAATAGCGTTTATCTTGCATTTAAGTAAGTAATTAACAGACCATTAGTATCTAACAATATAAATAAAGCAAAACAACAATAAAACATGACTATAATAACTATCAAATCTAAAACTAACAAAACCTATTTGTGGTAATTAAACAAAGGATTATTAAGTGTTTTAAACCAACAATCACATAACGATGACGGTGTACATAACAAACACAGATAAATACGTCGCATCTTTTTCGGAAAGTTAGTTACGTTATTTTATCTAATGCACACACGAAAGTTTAACAACCATTAACAACTTACTTCAGAACATCTTCTCGTTTCCTTTTACGGTCAGTCTTGGTTCTGGAAGATTCGTCACGGAAACTGGGACTGTAGCGTTTTTCGATTTTTCCCCCACTACAAAGCGTTGCTTGCATTACTCCTGTAACAATTCGCACTAGGCTTTAACCATGCATGCATACGTACTCCGATTTCTTAAAATTAACTGGACTTAAATTTTAGTTAATATTTTAGTAGAAATTAGTACGAGCAAAATTTTCACGAGAGAGAAAAAATGAGACGCTACAACAAAGCTTGGTGTGTTGAATGTGATGAGAAACGAAAAAATAAAGAAAAAAACGAGCATTCGTTTACTTTTGTGTACTGATCTGATTTTGGAGAAAGAGGAATAGAATGCAAATTTTCTACAAAATCTGGATTCTATTTCGGTTTTAATAATAAATGGGCTTCCAACCCGTTTAGCGTAAAGAACGTCCATACAAACCCTCGCAGAATGGACGATTGGAGGCTTTCGAAGCGGGGTCAGGCAGCGGGCAGCCGTCTGTCAGTCAGCCGGTCCACCGGGTGGCGATTCCCTCAATAAAACAAGTAAACGATTTTTGGGATAACCAAATTTTACAGCAATCATTCGCACGTTCATTCAGGATGATGCGCAGAGTTGGTGTTTTTGGTCAGGTCGGCCAGCCCAAAAGAACCGGGCTGAATTCTATACTATTTTTTAGTCCCTAGTGTGTTATTATGTATTTATTTTTTATGATTTTTATTAACCTGACGAAGAACTGCAAATAACGTTAAGTTTCCACAAAATTAAAAATACATTCTTTACTACTGAACTTTGTTTTTAATTCCCAAACCCTTTGTTAAAAATTAATGTTTTCTGCATTTCCTTTATTCAAGCTTGATTACACTACACGTACACAAAGAATACAAGAAGCTGAAATATAATTTATCTTTGCGCACACATGAATGAACATCAAGGAAACAACTTCATGGTTTGTAGAATGTAGAACTAAACTCCTGTTCAAAATTATCGCACCACTACCAAAATCCGTGAACAATCTGAACTAAGAATTTTAAGAAGAAAAAAACAGAAATTTTGAACAGGAGTTTGTCAATTAGATGATGCAACGTCACAGTCAAGGCTTGTTGTGCAGTCCTAAGTGCAGATGAGAAACTATCCAAAGAAAAAAAATAAAGTCCCTTCCCCATTTCTATCGCTTAAAATGGAGCATACAGTTATAAGTTGTAATTTTTTTAACGAGTTTACAATTTAAAACATCAAAAAACATGTACCTAAATTAAGTAAATGTCACATTTTAACTCTTTGGCAGTCACGACGTGGATCTGTGATCACATTTCGTTCGATTGTTTCACAATATACTGGTTTTTTAGACGTTAGAAACTAGTCTCCGATGAAAAATTCAATCGCTGTTTAAAACTTTTCAAATTTAGGATATTAAGAATTATAACAATAATAATTATAGCGATATTCAAGAAAGGAAATGAAACGAACTACTTTCTTAGAACCAGTTTATTGCAAAAAAATTCACAGGAAACTACATCTGGCGCTTAAAAATTTTAGTAAATTAAAAATGAGACACGAAATAATTAGATTCAAATAAAAAATGACCCTTCACTTGTAAACACTAGTTTTTAGTGTCTAAGTGGATCGAAGTGGTCACGTGTGTGCAAAGACAAAAAAAACTGGTTCTTTCTCAACCTTCGCAAGCGTTTCGTAACTACCATCCTACAAAATAAAAATTCTTTTCACAAATTGTATCTTTCATTCAGAAAAACTGTCATCTCATCACCCCATTTCACGAGTTTATTCACCTACACAAAGACAGCCAACTCTGACGAAAATTCAACACATACCGAATATCAAAAAACAATCAATTTAATGACATACTTACCTCTTCAATATCACACATTACTTACTCTATCGAAACGTATTTACAATCAAATAAAAAAAGTTTTCGTCGTCGTTAAAACATGATGTGATAAAAACGGGATAAGGAAAACATTACAGCACCCGCAGGAAGGTTTAGGAATTATTACCATTCATACCACAGTTATTCAGTACGTAATTATACAGACCATTAAAAAATAAAAAAAGAATTCATCAGTTATTTATTTCGGTTTTCTTTTCCAAAAAAAGTTAAAAATAACATATCAAGCGTAGTACATCACACTAATGCATAAATAAAAAAAAAAACATGAATGAAGTTAGGTGATCATGTTTCAAACAGTAAGTCAAAGCATGCACCACAAATCCAGTATAGTTGTCAGATTTCAAAAAATTTATTCGTCTCATCATTTTGTACATTTACAATACAATCACTAGCCTATAGTATAAACTATGTGATCCAGATAATTCGAAAATTCAGGAACGTTGGCTCCGATTAGTCAATACTTACAATCTTATCACATTGGAGCCGAACTGTTCCGGAATCAGAATCTGGCCTTCAGAGTCTTAACTAATCAACATTTATTTCATAGTCCACTTTTTAGAGTCTTTCCCACTAAGTTTTTTGTGTTTTTGGATTTTTGTTTTTGTCTCTTATTCTACTCAGCTTACCTTTATATTTCGGTACAAACATTTTGATATCTTGGTCCTGAATGTTCTGGTAAAAGTCGAGCTCTCTATAGTTTAGGGGTTTGCAGATTGTGCTTGGGTTAAGCAGCATGAGACGCGTGTGGCCTCCGACCTAAAACAAGAATTAACGACGTAATAAATTTGATTAAATTTTAAATAATCACTTCTGATTACTCAATAATTATCAACTCATCACGCAGTGGTAACGATCAATGCAATATAAAAATAGTCGATGAGCAACGCGAATAATATTTAATGTTAACAGATAAATGCAGGAAACGGTGGAATTTATAACCCGTTATTCGTATGCGTTTTAAAAGGAAGTGATTGTAAGAACTAGACAAAACACTGTAATTTCATTGAATATAAGTCACATGTCAATCAACTGTTTCTACCAATCGTAAAAATTATAACATGCGTTTTTTTCTTAAATTCATTTATAATCGTTGTGGATTCAAATCAATAAGAACTATTTTTTGTTACTACTTCTAAAGATCAGGTGTTATATCGTCATTCCAGATAAGATCAATTTTCAAGAGAAAAGATGGTGTGTACCTGTTGACACTAATGTATTGGTTTCTATTAAAAACTCGATGACGTTATTTATAAATTTTGTTACGAGGATCTCACTTGAAATGGGTTATCTATCATAACAAAAAAATAAAATTCGCTGAAATAAGTTTTATAATTTATCTACGAAACTGGGCTCGTCTAACTGTGGTGTCAAATGTATTAATTTTGACGCGTGTAATAAACATTAATCATGGCATCAATCGTAACATTACTGGTTTTATCAGAATTGAACCTTTTGAGGCTATCGAGAAAATAATTATGTAATAAATTCGTTTTTTGCAGACATGAACTATTTTTGTATCCATCCCCATCACAGTTTTGATGACGTACCTCAAAAGTTTGCTAAGTAACCTATTGAAAATTTCCTATATGTGTAAAATAAATGCGCACATTCGTGTGGTTAATCTACCCACATGTTTTATAATTTAATCATGTATAAAATGTAGACATAATATATTCCACTACTAAATTTTCCTACTTCAGAAATCTAAAAATAGATTAATATTAACTAAAGAAAATACCGACAGTTGCAACCTTGATCCTAGACATTGGGAATTCTACCTTTGGCATCACTATACATTTATAATTTCGCAATTTTTGTCAAGGAAAATTTTAACAGACTCGCTAAAAATAAAGATTCTTACAATAAAACGACCACTCTTTAAACACGGTGTTTATTACAAAGCTATTAGAGCATATGAGTATGCTGTCAATATACATTGCTTTCTATTGTGATCTAGTTTACAAGACACCGCAATAATTTTAATAATACCCCAAAGTATGGTGAGAAAAATGGTGTTCTTGAAGTCATTTTGCTAGAAAAGGTATTATAATTTTTGCTTAATATCCCAGGATTTTTTTTAATGAATGCAATTAATTCAATAATGATACAGGTATGTAACGCTGTTGAATACAAAGACGGCGTATTAACTTGTGTTTTATTCTGTAAGCTCACAGATGACAAATTTTTACCAATAAAATGGGGATTTACAACTCGGCATCACTTTAGATCCAATCGTACTTGGCAATCAGACACATTTCTCGGGAAAACCACAGTGCGAATGCATTACATAACACAACTCGAACTGTTACATCTTCTAATTCAAATGTTTGAACAATACGACTGGACTTTTAGTCAAAATAAACAAATAATTTTGAATACAAAAAACTGGATAACTTATGATTTTAATTTTGTGAGACCTTTCCTCCTGTTATTGTTCCCTCGACCATTGCCATGGGGTACGCACCCCACCCCACCCCACCACTCAATGCCCCGAAGGCGATTTCACCCAGTCCAGACCCAAACAGTACATTATTCGAAAGAGTACCGAACGCGACGGCCGTACAGGCGCGACCCTCATTATCATAACATACTTGAAATGTATTACACATTGTTAAAATAAGTGTTAAACAAAATCTATCTTTTATTTACGGTCGTTTGAAGCATAGCGTGACGCCACATTTTGGTCCGTTAGAGCCGGATAATCAGCGAAACGAAAAAACCAGTTAGCTGCGAGTGTGTACGCGATGTCAAAATGAGTGTCCTCCACCAGCGCTAAGCAGTAAGTCCCAATTTCCTTTCTTCCAGCAACGTTTATTTGTGTCAACATTGCCTGGAGCTTGCACGTGCAGTGACTTATCTACAACTCCTAATAAGGTTTTTATCTCTCATTTATCATGTCCAAATTTAACCTGGAATTTAGTCATAACTTTGTATTCAAACGAAATACATAATTGTAAACTAATACATGCTATTTGTAGACATATTCTCACTCTAAATCTGTGTACTTGCGCCATCGTTCTGGAAAAATCTTTAGAGTAGGTTTTTGGTTACGTGGCAAACCAGTTGTGCACAAAATTTTGTATTACTTTTGTTTGCTACCTTACTACCAATTACTGGGATTAAAGTGTATTTCAGTGCCGGTTTAAGATAAACCCAGGTAAAATTTCCTTCGAAAGTTAATCCATGGTGCAGAGGTAGTTTAAATCAATAAATGCTCGTAAAACCCAAGCTTGCAGGTAGCATTGATTAAATACATATAGATAGACCCATGCTATTGTTTGGAGCGAACAGGCCAACGGCCGGCGAACAAGAGATGGCGCACCAACAGTCGGCCGTCAAACGCCGGCGAAAAGCTTGGACACCAATCGCGCGCGTAGATAACCCAAATCACAGCAACAATACATTTAATAAAGCTACCACTCGACAGAGGGCGACGAAAACAATGTGTAAAAATCTCTTAGTAACCATTTATATAATTTGCAACGTTGCCAGATGAGCCTAGCACAACTTTGCCGTTATTTCTAGTCGATTAGATTTTATTTCGTTTAAAAGTTTCTGGTGAATAAATGGAATTATTATAATGAATAAACAATACAAACAAATTATTACTTGTTATTTTAAATACTTGTTAGTGTTGATGAAAACATAAATGGTAATTAAAGTTATTCTAAATACGGTCCGGTCCGGTAGCTCAAATTTTACAGTACGAGTGATATGTTTCAGGACGAGTAGGTAGCCGAGTCTTTAATTTCGAAACGAGTACTGCGAAAAGAGTTACCGGACGTATGTTGTTATCTATTTTATTTCATACTGTCAACATTCTTTTTTATTCGATAAAATTATTATTATTTTGAGAAAAAATCCAAATCGAGTCACTTTTTCTGACATCGTTAGCAAACGCTCTTTGGTAAATGTTTTAATTTGTTTATTCGTGCAAATCAGCATCATATGTTTAAACACATAGTACTTATAACACTTTACAGGACTTATTGTTTTGTATAATCCGACTCGATGGACGAATGTTTTGTGCAATCCGTCTCGAAGGACCAATGTTTGTGCAACTCGGCTCGTCCTACCAGTATTTTTTGTAATCTGGTTGATACGACAATGTGATACCGAATTGCACTTTGATATTGCTCCAAGGACCTTTGTTTTCTTGCGTGCGAGATAATAGACAGCGTTCGGTTTCGATGTTTAATACAGGACGGTTACAGAAGTACTAAATTTACATTTGTATTTACAATAACAGGTAAAGCAAAAGAGACCCAAAAGGGTCAGTGGCCGCTTCCGGAAATGGAAAACTTGTCCTTTTTGGCCACGGAGGTAGAAGAGTGTCTCTTCTACCTCCGTGTTTTTGGCTCAATTTTATCGGACTTGTCCGTTTTTTTGATTTTACCGGAATAGTTCGATCCAGTAAAACGTCAAACTTGACATAGTATGAAGTAAAATAAATAAATTTTATGATGTAAATACAATTAAGTGTATCGATAATTCGCTACTGAAAATTTATTGAAATATAATTTGTGTTAAAAAAAGATTTTTGTGGTTTTATGGTTTATTAAATGTAATTAAAATAAATAATATCAAGAACTTGTATTATATATCAAAAACATTCATTGTAAATAAGAAAATTATGTAAATAAACCATAAAACCATACAAAATTTTCCTGCGACCTCTATTCAAAATCCCAGTTTACCAATAGGAATTAAGGCACAAAGATGTTTCACTGAATTTAATACCGATTTTTCAAGAAAAGTATGCTTATAAGCCTATAAGCGTCTAATGGATTAAAACAACAAATAATAATCACAATTTATTTGTTTTATGTGTTCATTACAATAATCCCATTTATTTACCAGAAACTTCTAAATGAAATAATATCTGGTTGACGAGAAATATCCGCAAATTTGTGTTAGGCTCATCTGGCAACGTTTTCGGTAGGTAGGTATCAATGGAACTAAAAGATTTGGTAATTTTCTTGGAGGAGTTTGTTTCTTCAATGAAAATTTATGGTTTTTAATTCTTCGGCCGCTTGAAAGTCTCGCCATGTGAAAATAGATTATTTGATAACCTGTTTCGTAATAATTGTAAATACGAACAAAAGCATATTTGCATATTCTAAACAACTGGCCATATCGATTCCAAACTTGTACAGATATGTTTTTTATTGTTTCTGTTTTCAATGAAATAAATTTTATTTGCAAAATACTTAATGTCTAACGACATATCACGCATACATACTACCCCATTTACTATATTTTCAATCTGTGCATTTTTCGCTTCATTCGTAGGAGCCAAGTAAGAAGTATCAGTGAGACCGGCGGTCTTTCAAAAGCTCGTAAATGAAAAGATTTAGTAAAGTTTCCTAGAACAGTCTGTCTCTTCATAAAAAAATTTAGACATTTTTACTATGAAATATTGGTACAATACGCTATATTCCACTGTTTGTTTTCTTTGAGATACGACTAGTTCTTGTGCCGAAGTGAAACACCAAAAAGTCTAAAGTCCGGAAATCAGAGTGAATTTTAAAACACATAAAACGACTTCTTTATTTATTTAAATATTGTCCTGTAACGTCCTGTGACGTGGAATGGAGTTTCTTAATGTACAAAAGTATGTTAGATAATAACCGAAAAATTTTCTTGATTAAAACTAAAGGAAACACAATTATTACTTGGAATAAAAATAAAGAATATCAAGAACTTGTGCTATGTATTAAAAATATTTAATTTCAAATAAGTAAATTATGTTAATA